AAAATGATCAACCAACGTTTCCTTTCCTGAAGCCCCATGATCAAACAGGAGATGGTCAATCATCAGCTAGGCTCTCACTTGAACGGTATTTTAGCCGGGTAGCGGAAAGAGCTCACATCCATGGAACTGCAACTCTCACTCCCCCACCCCCCGAGCCATTCAGAGGAGGACATAATGCCCACACTCCAATGCCATTCTTCATGTGTGACAGTGGATAATCTGCATTCAACTATGGGGCACTCACAGTACAATCCAATCCTATCTTCACACAGCTGTGTTAAAGACAATAATCTCCAGTAAAAAAATATACTGGACAAAAATAATAATTTATTAATCAAATAGCGAAAAATAATAAAAATCTGGAACTGAAATTGTCATAATCATGCATCAATAGTTATTTTGTGTAAAATAATAATACATACATTTCATATAGTACTTCATCATTTGTCAATAAGTCTCAAACTGCTTCACAGGATATACTAGGAACTGACTGTGTATTTTGTGGGCAAACACAATACAAAATTACATTTGTATACGCCTTTCACGTCGGGAAGACATCCCAACATAGCCAAGCAATGTCCCACAAATAGCCATGAAGTGAATGATCAATTTTATCTGGGGGATTATGGCCAGAACACCAGGAGAAACTCCTTTCCTTTTTTGAATATTGCAATGGGACCTTCAACATCCACCTAAACAGGCAGATGAGATAGGATCTCTGCTTAACCGTCTCAACCAAAGGACGGCATCTCAAACAACGCAGCACACCCTAAGCATTACTTTGGAGTGTCAACCTAGACTATATGTGTTGCAGGTGATGACCTAGGGCTTGAACTCACAATCTTCTGATTCCCAGGCAAGAATGCTATCAACTGAGACAGGCTCACACCCTGTGTAGACTAAAGAATAAAAGTGTTAATTCATAAAATTGGGATGGAAGGGTAATATACAAAACTAAGATGCAGTAATTAATGCAGGATAACCAACGTTTCCTTTCCTGATGCCTCATGACAGCAAAGTACAAGAGAAAAGTGGAAAGTCAGAAGCTAGTCTGTCTTTCTCTTTTGAGGTCTGATAAATTGATGTGCATTTTCAGATTTTACTTCAGGTTTCCAGGATTCACCTTTTATGTTTCTTTTACCTCCACAAGACTACTTTGACCAAGTGCTTCTGAAGGCATCCATCCAACTGCAAAAATTAAACTTTTTGTCAAGTTACAAGATCACAGCTCGAGCTTCAGATGAAAAAAGTTCTTTGGCCCATTTGGTCTCATCCCTCCAGAATACCCCACCCCCGCCACAATCGTTTTCCCAACACAGAATCAAGCTGCTTTTTAAATGAATCCAGCAGTTTGTTACAGCCTGAAACACACAGCTACAATTATTTTATATAGTGAATACAAGTGTATATTTAGCTGAAGCAGAGTTTAAAGGGGAAATCCAACAGAGGCTTTCAAAGATATGTATGGTTATTATAGGATAAATAGAGATGATTTTCGCTGATCAGTCAGCTCTGAGACGCCATCCGGTGTGGAGGGTGCTATATAATCCAAGTTGTTGTTGTAACTATAAATTGGAAATTGAGGATTATCAGCTGAAGTAAAAAAAGGGAAGGTCGGAGGGTTTTCTTTCACACAGAAGCTTGATAAAATATGGAATGCTTTACAACAAATTGCAGCTAAAGTCATAATAATAATAATCTTTGCATTTGATATAGCGACTTTTCATGTCTTCAAGACGTCTCAAAGCGCTTCACAGAGTACACTGTAAAGTGCATTGACTGTATATTTTGTGGGTGAAACACAACAGCCAATTGTAAACAGCAATGTCCCACAAATAGTTGTGGATTGATGGACCAAATTATTGTTATTTTTTTGATGGGATTATTACCCCCAGAAAAACAATCTGTCAATTGACTAAAAACCCAGTTCCTACTTACTGTTAGGTAAACAGAGGAGTGTGGAACAAGAAAACAAACCCAGTTCCTCCCGAAACAATACACTACAATGGAATCCACATGTCCATAATAACTTAAAAAATAATTGGATAAATACTTGAGGAAATGCAATACCAAGGTGAAAGAATTAGTAAATGGATTAAAGTAGATAGCTGCAGTGCAAAAATATCAGCATAATAATAATAATAATCCTTGCATTTGATATAACACCTCATCACATGGTTGAGACGTCTCAAAGAACTTCATAGAATATACTGTAAAGCGAATTCACTGTGTATTTTGTGGGCGAAACACAGCAGCCAAATTCGCACAACGATGTCCCACAAACATTCATGGATTGAGTGACCCATTTCTTTTCTATATTTTTTATTTTTTGAGGAATAGACATGGTGGACCAAATAGCATTTTTTTTGTACTATACATTTTCTGGATCTAACTGATTGGTTTATTTTGTAAGGTATTATTTTCTATTTTAATTTTTTTCAATGTTGAAAGTATGTGAAGCACAATATGGTAGTCAGTAAACAAATACCATAGTAATGAAAGTTAGTTACACAGTGGTTTCCTTGTGGAATAGTGGAACACGGTACATTGGGTTGAATTTAAATTTACAAGCGAGATTATCTATTTCTATCACGTCAGCACAATGATTAACTCAATTTAAATGTAATGCTTTTTCTTTCAAAGGCAAAAAGAAGGTAAATTGATTGAACTCTTGATTTTTTTGAGTAGTTAACAGATTAAGTTATCTTCGAAGAGCCGGTATATTCTCTTATTTCTTCTAAACCTTGGCAGATTTAAAGAAATCTCATCGACCAAAATGCTTTGAAAGACCACTGTATAGTGAAATAAATCAAAAGCAGTCAGTCTCAAAAGGTGTTTATGATAAGTGGAAGGAATTTAATAACATTTTTACCCTTTGTACTTTTTTAAGACCACTGTGTTTCATTAAACACTTTCTTTTCCTGCTGCCCTTTATTTGATATATTCTTTCCTTTGAAATCATACTAGCTGCTTCTATTGTAGATTCAAATCGCCCTCGATTTATCAACAAAATAAATCATTTACAGTCTATCTGCCCAGTTACAAAGTGACTGGAGTGTTTTCTGAATGATATCTGTCTTTTCAAAACATCCCGCTTTTCTACACAAATGTGTATCATATGCAGAGTCTGGCATTTAACTGCAAATCCTTTGATCAAGCTTATTAATATTATGAATTGAACCGCAGGGAACCTACAACTGATCTCTCAGACATTTCATCTGTAACAGCTTCACAATTAGAACTATTATTGCTGGAAGCTGGTCTAGCAAGCTTGACCAGTGCATTTGTAGTTTCTGATCCAACGTTATAAGGTGCATTTGGCCTGATTTGAGTCCAGTTACTGAATTATTCTATGGACATATTGACTAAAAGAAAGGGAGAACTGACTACACTGAGAGGATGGCAGACAATCACTTTAACTAAACAATTTCTGTATCAGACAGATACAAACACAAGCAAGCTTAACAAATCTATCTTGTGCAGTGAAAGCTCCATATGTAGTGCTCCAGGATAATAATACTCATATTGAAGGTATCAAAAATACAATAATTTGCAACATATCTCAAAGCACCCAGCTTCCTAATTCTTTTCTTTCCACTTTACAGATGGGAAACATTTGCAAGCTTAATCTCTCTCCTATTCATTTCCTGTTCCTCTTGGTCCGACAGACAAAACAACAACAAATTTACATTCACATAGCGCCTTTTTATGTCAGGAAGCCGTCTCGAGGCACAGATGGGAGCTATGAGGATTTTTTTTACAAAAGAGCTGTTAGAATATGGTCAGCCCTACAGGGTATGGTGGGTGAGCAGATTCCATATTAACCTTCAAGAGGAAACTACACTATAGCCATTATAACTTCACTACAGAGCAAATTCGCTGGGGAACATTAGATGCCATCATGATGATGATCAGCAGTTAGGCATTTATTCACATGAGCACATCTGTATAAATATACTCCAGTGTAATTATTCTACAGAGTAAGCATTTGTACATTATACAGCACATAGACTGCAGTGTATTTACAAGACAGGAATATAAATGTAGCTTCAAATGGTGCCAGACTACAAAAGCAAAGCTAGGCCATTTTTTAAAATTGGATTATGTTGGTGCCTTAGAACACACTTCAGTGTTTTATGCTATACATTTCTATTTTGCCTTAGTTTGAACAGGGGAGGAGAAAGGGTGTCACAATTGTGTTGCATGATTTGACATACAGTCAAATTGGGGTTAAATGACTAATTATAGAAGTGCATTATAGGTTCTGTATAACAATGTAAATGCCAAAGTAAATGTCTTCACATGACAAATCGTATAAACCAGAAAAATGTGAAGATGAAGCACTGACAGGAATAATATCTTTACTAAATAACTGTAAAGTCAAAACCAAAACATCCATGTGTTTTTTTGGGTCCGACACTACGGAAACCCATCACCATGCGTAAAAATATCTAAACCAGAGTTCCGTGCATCCCACCTACACATGGAAATTTCTGTATATTGTAATGTATATGCGCACTCTCTCCCTGGAGATACATCCTGCTTGCCGAATTCTGGAAGAGTATTGGGCGCAGATTGGCAAGAGCCAATGCTTGGGGATCCCAGTTTGTGCATTGAGGGATTGCTGGAATCTAACCAGCTAAAACTTTAGCATTGAGAGCCCTGTCTGGCAAGCTTTCCTGCTGCTTGCCCATATAGAACTATCATACCCTTCGGCTTTGCCTTGCTCGGTCTTTAGGGTATGGCGCAGCACATCCTACCATCAGAAAACGTCTCGTAGAAGCATTTAAGTTTCTTTTTAGTAGTTCTTGTCTCTCCAAAAGGATTGTAGCAGTCGACTCAAGAGTTCAAGAACTAAAACAAAAGACCATTAAAGTGACCCCAAACACCGGTAAATTATTCAGGGGCTATATTCTACTTGTTTTAAAAAGAATATGTCAGAAGATTTAATACTAGCATTTGCAGACATAAACCTAATGGTGTGACAAACTAAAAATTACCTCGTAGGCTTTCTTTCTTTTAATAAATCTTCCAAACTCTTCTCGTAGTGCTCAGTGACAACCACCAGTCTTTCTGTAAGTGATAAAAATAATAATAATCCTTGCATTTGATATAGTGCCTTATCATGCCATCGAGACATCTCAAATCGCTTCACAGAATATATTGCAAGTGAATTGACTATATATTTTGTGGGCAAAACATGGCAGCCAATTGCGGTCAGCAGTGTCCCACAAACAGTCATGACCAAAGTTTTTTTGTTGTTGAAGGGATTATTATCCCCGAAACGCAATCCACCATTCAACTAACTACCAGGTTCCTACTTACTGCTAGACGAACAGATGCCATCAATATAAAATAGTCACAAATAGATCAAATAGTGAAGTTAGAAGAAATTTCTTCACACAGAGAGCAGTGGGAATGTGGAACATGCTACTACAAGGAGTTGTTGAGCAAATAGCATAGATGTATTTAAGGGAAAGCTAGATAGGTACATGAGGGAGAAAGGAATAGAAGGTTATGCTTGAAGGCTTTAGTTGAGGAAGGGCAGGAGGAGGCTCATGTGGAGCATAAACACCAACATAGACCAGTTGAGCTGAATGGCCTGTTTCTGTGCTGTATATTCTAATGTATTCTAATGTATGCACGTGGAGTAAGCAAGCTTGCCTAAAGTTTCACCCTGCCTGGGAATTGAACCCGGGTTCTCTCATTTTATGTGATGAGAGCACTAACCAATACGCTACAGGACTCCCATGAATTGTAGATCAAGAGGTACTGTATTTATTACATTACTACGAAAAGCTGTCCGATTGCCATTACAACCTTTTAAGTTGATATAAATGAAAAGAAACAATCACAGAAAGATGAGGAAAACTGGAAATGGCTAGCGCATTGTATTGCTGATATGTATTAATGTCTATCTGCTTGAATTTGCGGTAGTTTGGGTTAAGTTTAAAAAAACTCCCACAAAATCAAATTAATTTGTTCCTATGGAATGACTGAACAAAAGATAATATTTCAATGACATTTCATCACAAAAAAGAGAAGTGAACTGCAATTGTCTTTTTTTCTGTTCTCGCAATGTTATCTCTTTTCCCCCTTCCAGCTGGTGACAAGTGATGCTGTTCAGTTTCTCTTCTACTGGCAGTGTTCGACCCCTCACCCAAATGGTTACTTTTCATATGTGAGCTAAACAGAGCAATCTATCCTTCATTAATTGTTGAAGAGCAATTTTGTCACCAAGCCTTTAAAAGATTGAGACTTTCATTTTATGTTTTAACAGTACTCAAACAATTATATTTTAGAAATTTGAATCTTAGGGGCTGTTATTTATATACTGGGTCCAGGGAAGTTTTGTGAGGATGGGGATGATGACAGCTGTTTTTAAGGGGTGGAAACACTCCTTGTGGACAAGAAGCGGTTGTCGTTGTCTGTTAATAGAAGCAAGGAGGTGGAGGTGGGAGGTAAGGAGAGGGATGGGGATGGGGTCAAGCGGGCAGGAGGTGGGCTTCATTTTCGACGTGATGGAGATAAGAGAAGAGGGAAGTCAGGGTTGAAGGTATGGAGGGAAGGATGGGTAGGGGCCAGAGTGTGGGTCAACTGAACCAGGTTGACCATGTGTTTTTTTTTTAAATTCTGCTGTATAAGATAAATTTAAACAATCACTAACACATGAAGAAAAAATGATATTCATCAAATATATGTCTCATGATTCTTAAGAAGTATTTACCATGCTTTCCACGCGATATGTCCACATACTGGCAGAGCGTCGGGTGTGCAATGGCTTTGAGGATCTGAAAACGTCCAAGAATTCGAATGGAGTTTGGAGTGAGTGGAAGTCCATTACTGCCACATACGTCGTGCGGAAGTGCTGAAGCAAAGAAAGTGAAGGCTCCAAGCTTGGCATCCTTTAGAGGAAACATTTTGCTCTCAACACAATGTCATTGTAAGCCTGCATGCAGATGAAGAAAAAGAGAAAGAAATTCATTAAAGGCTGGCATTTCACTTTATTAGCCTCTACGGCAAACTGACATTATAAAAGCTTCTCATTCATCCAGACTGCTGCCAAGGAATACATCTTGCATCACTTGAGCCACAAAACAAGGCGGTCACTGTAGCAGGATGGGGATTAAAGGAGGATCTTGGCATACTGTAATACACCATGACAATCACTGTGCATTTGTAATTGTTTCCCCTCAAGATTGTACAGAGTGGGGGATATTACCTCCCAAACACTTACAAAGCCCATAGCAGCAGTCATCAATAATAAAATCTTCATTTCATAGAACCATAGGGAGTAGGCCATTCAGCCACTCGAGCCTGTTCTGCCATTCTATGAGATAATGGCTGATCTAGACCTCAACAAACAAACAAAACCTCAAGTCCAATTACCCGCCCTTGCCCAATATCCCTTAATATCCTGACCAAACAAATATTTGCAGGACAATCCATGGAATCAATTGAAACAATCCACTCCTATATATTGAGTACAATAGCAAGAACAAGTCTTCTTGTAAAACGTGAGGGCAAGAGCCTGGGGCATTAAGTAATTGGTCACACTTCTACTTTTCATTCATACTGCAAGATATATGCTTTACTCTCATATGCATAAACAAATGTCTTGTTCAGACATTCAGTCCCTATGTACCTTTATTACGATTAGGAGAGCGAGGTCAATGCTGCGAATTTCAGAGAGAGAACAGAATAGGCACCCTGAGATCCAGAGTTTCAGAATTTATACCTGCTTTTAGCAGTTGGTTGTCCAAGTTGGAAGTAATCAATTCTTCCAATCACTGTTCCCCATATCAAAAGTGCTCATATTGACGACAACTATCACTGAATTTCCAGTTATGTCCCCGATATTCCTGTGTCTATTATGAATGTTTTATACCCACCAGCAGTAGATGAGCTTTCAGCCATTCTGCCCCTGCAACTCCATACCAGAGTTCTTCCGCTTTCCCTCTCCTGCCCCAGCTTCACAACCATCATTTTGTCTGTGCACTTTTGGTCACTTTTCCTTTTCACAGTACTCCCTCAGCTCTCCTCCCAGGTTGAGCTCCCAGTCAGCTGTGTGAAGCTCTCCTGACGTAAAAGCTGCTATATAAATGTAATACTTTTATTTTATCCCAAACTCGTCCAATTCTGTCTCCAACAAAGCCAATTCTGATACAGGCATTGCTTAAATTCAGGTTGATCTCAATAAAAAAAACTCACCACACATGCATAAATATACCCGACAAGCTGTCTTGCTTGTAAACTCATTGCTAGCTTGTTGTTCTGTCCTGCTAAATTTAAGGACCATCTTTTTGATTTATGGAAACTATAACTGTTGTGTCAAATTGGCAGAACAATGTGGTAATGAACCAGATTATAGCATTGTCAAATGATTTATAAATATATTCTGTAATCAATAATTCACTTTCCAAAAGCATTTAGAAACTGTTGCACATGTGCATGAGTCACTGTTGGCAGTGACTGTGCTCCACATAACTCGATAGACTTTTAGCACATATTATATAACAGATTTTGTTTATTTATTGACTTGCGAAGTTCTTTGTTGCACCAACATATAAAGTGTAGCAATATAAAGTCATTTGCAGTCGTCGACAGGGCTACTCTGTATGACTTGCACCACCTGGTAGAAACATCTCAGCATTGGAATGCAGCAATAAATAATGGAAAGTGGACCAAAACTCAAAAGTTATTATGAGCAACAGTAACCTACAAAAGATTAAACCATAGTCAGAGGACCAGGATCCTATTCAAAACACATTTATATTCCCTCTCCCCATTCATTTTTCTTAAAATAAAGCATCTTGTGTCCATCCTATGGCACAGATCTAGTTTATCCTAATAACACACTTTATTGTGCAATTAGTTTCTACAAAACAGACATTGTATGATTCTTGCTGAAGAAAAATTGCAGTCTTTTGCCAAAATATCTAAGATTAGTGTTTTGTGAAATACGATGCCAACTGTGTTGTTAACTAATGCCTGTTTGTCAACAGATGAAATAAAAGCGCTTTCCCCAATGCCTCAGCAAGTTTATCTGGTAAGTGAGTCATCAAGACCTGAAAATCACAGGCTCAATTCCCACTACTGGTTCATTTCAGTCAGCGTGGGATGTGAAGTGCTACAACTGGTCTCATCGTCACACAATCAGCAATGGAAAATCAACCAGGGGTCCTGCTACTGATCGATATCCAACAATGTATGATAAATCGTAGCACAGTGGTTAGCATGCTCACCTGGCAAGCGAGAGGACCTAGGTTCGATTCCTGGGCAGAGCGAAACCTTACGCAAATTTCATTACTCCACACACCTCTGTTTACCTGACAGTAAGTAGAAACTCAGTTGTTAGTCGATTGGCGGATCGCTTTCTGGGGTAAATATCACTCAAACAAAAAATTGGTCACTCAATCCACAATTGTTTGTGGGACACTCCTGTGCGTGTTTCACCCACAAAATATACAGTCAATTCACTTTACAATGTATTTTGTGAAGCGCTTTGAGACATCGCAATGACATTATAAGGCACTATCATTATTGTTGTTATTATTATTATTATGAAGGTGCCTATATGTGAATGCAAGGCAACGCCAGAACTCGGCTTAACTGCAACACCCTATCCCAGCAAACAGCCTGGCAACTTTCATCAACAATGCTCATACATGAATAACAGTCACTTAGAAGAGGTACCAAAGAACCTCAGTAGAAAACAAATTAGTAAAATAAAGAATTATAAATTAGGAAATATTAGGGTGAAAATTACAATGTTCTTTAACTGATTTAGTGTGATTTTCTCATACGTTATCATCTTAACTCAGATTATTATCACATCAAATTTATTAAGAGAGATCGCAAATTTTCACTCAAAATGTATCAAAATCTTACCTCCAATTCTTTTCCTACTGTTGCAATGCTACATTTCTATGTGAAGATGTCATGTAACACAGGGATTTGAATTACACTGGATTTGTGTTATGGGATTTGTAGCATTTCCAGGAGTGTTCTTGAAATTACAGAGGATACATGTGGGCTTGGTGGCTGACCGAAACATAACCGAACAAAGGATGTTGAGTACATAAACCGCGAGCCGAAAGCTTACAGCGCAAATTGATGAGTATTTAATCTTGTTCAAATTATTCTTAAGGGTCAAGACAACATAATAGCTTTATTCTGTAGGGGCTTACTCTTGCAGACAACTGTTGTGTGCTCCATAACACACAATTTCTGTACTATGATGTGGGGAATGTGGTATTTGGTGAATTCACTGCAAAGCCTGGTTGGCTTCTATGAATAGTGTGACCATTGGCCAAAGATTTTATTTCATCTTCTATTATAATAATAACTTTCAAGAACCAGATGCACTTATGTGGCTAGGACAACAACTTGCATTTATACAGCATCCTTCACTCGGGGTAGTGCCTCGGAGATCTTATGCACCACGTGACTTTAAGAGTCAAATGATAATAAAAATAATAATAATCCTTAAATTTGATATAGCGCCTTATTGCATCATTGAGAATGAACTGTAAAGTGATTTGACTGTATATTTTGTGCCAATTGCACACAGCAATGTCCTACTAACAGTCGTGGATTGAGTGGCCAAACTATTATTTGTTTTGGAGCAATTATTACCCCCGGAAAGTGATCCGCTAATCTACTAACAACCGGGTTCCTACTTACTGCTCGGTAAACAGAGGCGTGTGGAAGGAAACTTGCCTCAGGTTTCGCTCTGACTGAGAATCGAACCTGGGTCCTCACACTTACGAGGATAGTGTTCTAACGAATACGCAATAGAACTCCACAAATAATCCATCAAAAACAAACTATTGATAATTACAGATGCAGCACAAATATTATTGTTTCTGTTACATTTCTTAAACATAGTTTCACTCCAGCAGTGAGCTGTTCCACACCACCAAGGAATAAGGATCACCTCTCCAACGGTAAGCCTTATTCAGTGGTGTTGTGCTCCTCCATTTCTGAAGGATCTGTGGGTAAACACACCACTGAGCCATGCAGATTGAAAGGTTGCGAGTTAAAATCCCGATCTGTGCTGAGCTAGTCACTTTCAGCCAGGCTGATAGCTGGGTGTTATACCTGACATTACAACCCCGGGTTAGGGACAGGGGGAGAAAATAGACTCGTTTTTCTACGTAGCTCATTGAGTGGCCACAGGTTCAAGCTTGGCTATGTGGGTCCCATATTGTAATAGTTGGCTAACCTCAACAACAGCAAAAACAACAACTTACATTTATATAGCGCCGTTAGCGCAGGGTAGCTTCCCGGAGCGCTTCACAGTGGCGGAGTCTGACAACAAGCCAAGCAGAGAGGGAGGGGGGAGGTGACCGTAAGTAAGCATGATCAAAAAAGAAAGTCTTTAGGCGGGATTTGTGGGTGGGGAGCAGAGGGGGCATGATGGAGGGATCGAGGGAGAGTTCCAGAGTTTCGGGGCATAGTGGCTGAAGGCACGGCCACCGATGGAGGAGCGGAGGGCACAAGGGACAATTAGGAGTTCGGAGTCAGCCGTGCGGAGGCAACGGGTGGTCGAGTGGGGGTTAAGCAGCTCGGATAGGTAGGGAGGTGTGAGGGAATTAAGTGATTTGAAAAGGAGTCAGAAGATGTTGAAGTTGATCCATGTGGCTATCCATGTGATAGCCAGTGGAGTCTGGCTGGGGCTGATGGACAGGGGTAGGGAGTTTTGTGAGAGTGAGTATCCGGGCGGCAGAGTTCCAATTAATTGGATTTTGTGTATGGTGGAGCTGGGGAGACCAGCGTGGAGGGCATTGGAATAGTCCAGCTGGGAATTGACGAAAGCGTGGATGAAGGTTAAACCTCACTGTTAAATCTCACAAATGAACAATGGTCACTTCATAGAATCATAGAATTATACAGCACAGAAGGAGGCTATTCGGCCCATTTGGGTGAGATACTGGAGAAAAACTG